GGAGGTAGAGGGGGGGGTTTGTTGGTTTTTTTTTTTTAGACTTTTAGCACTGAAGCTGCGCGATAAAGTAACTGTGTAATTAGGGATTAATTTCTCACTCCTGCAAGTGATGTCTTACTTGGGGCCTGGGGGAAGTCAGCCGGATGGTTATTCACCCACAGAGCAGCTCTCTTCGCCTTCTCTTTTGTTGGTGGGGGGAGAACGCTCCTTCAGCTCTCCCGAGGGGGGAGGTGGCTTCTTCCGTCCCCGGTGTCCTTCGGGCTGCATAGATTCCCCGAGTCAGTGCTCTGCCTGCTCTGTGTGGTGGGGCTGGACCGGGCTGTGTCTGAGAGATGCCCAGCCAGCATCCAGCCGGTGGTCCAAGGACAACGCCTCGGCCCTGCCCCTGCTGGTCCAGGTCTGAGGCACACAGCCTGTCAGGGTCCCCGCTGGCATTGCACCCCGTTTGTGTTTGCAGGCTGACCTGTTCACGAACAGCCCCTTGCTGGTTTTTCCCTCCCTGCCCCCTCGCTGGGCCTCCTGGGATCACCTCCCAAGTAAACTGAGGCTCCTGAGTCCTGGGCTGAGGCAGTGCTGGGGGATCCCAAGCCAGATGGGAGGTGTGAACAGAATGTGGGAGGAGCCAGAGCCCAGAGGGGAGCGGGGAGCAGGGAGCAGTGCTTCCTGGAGGAGGGGGTCTTGAAGGCGGAGGGTGAGGAGGATGGGCTCCACTCAAAGGAAAGGGACAGGGAGGCGTGTTTGGTAAGCTGTTTGTGCCTGGTGCCCGAGAAGTGTGGAATAGAAGCAAGGGGTGGGGGAAGGGGGCCTAGGCGAGACTGCAGGGACGTGAAGACCCTGCTCAGGGCTTGGGCTTTGTTCTGAGGGCAGTGGGGAGCCACTGAGGGTTTAAGGCCAGGAGTGACGCAGCTAGCTTTGTGTTTCAGGAGTTTGGGCTCACCAAGGCTGCTGAAGCTGTCAGCAGAGAGGGACGGTGGCCGGGCGGGGGCAGGGCGCTGGAGCTGTCGGCGACTGTCCACGTTGGGCTGGTGGGTACAGTCACCGTCAGGACAGCATGGTTGCAGGGTGGAGACTCAGACCTGCAGTTCCTACCCGGCCCCTCACTTGGCGCCTGTCTCCCCATCCTTGTCCAATGTCCAGCTTTCTATCCTCTGCCTCTCAGGGAACTGTGAGAACTGCTGGATTCCTCACCATGCACCTGCTGTTTACTCTTTACCACTGAAAGCATTTACACTTGGTCTTGCTCCCCCAGATAGGCTATGCGGCTGTAGCCAGACACCCCAATAGGTTCACAAAATACAGAAGAGAGAGTCAGGACCTGGGAGAAATGTTCAGGCAGAGGAATTCTCAGGGCCAAGGTCGATCATGCTGCCATGAACTTAGTGACTCATCACATTTCCCCTTTTGACTCGACTGCCAGGAAGCTCAGAGCTAAGATCTTGGCGCTAAGTTCTTCAAGAAATTTCTCTGGGGGAGTTTCTCAGTGGGGATCCAGGCGCTTGCAACTGGTGAATTCTCAGGGGGGTTTTTGCAGTAGAGGACAAGGCTGCTGAAGCTGTCAGCAGAGAGGGACGGTGGCCGGGCGGGGGCAGGGTGCTGGAGCTGTCGGCGACTGTCCACGTTGGGCTGGTGGGTACAGTCACCGTCAGGACAGCATGGTTCCAGGGTGGAGACTCAGACCTGCAGTTCCTACCCGGCCCCTCGCTTGGCGCCTGTCTCCCCATCCTTGTCCAATGTCCAGCTTTCTATCCTCTGCCTCTCAGGGAACTGTGAGGACTGCTGGATTCCTCACCATGCACCTGCTGTTTACTCTTTACCACTGAAAGCATTTACACTTGGTCTTGCTCCCCCAGATAGGCTACGCGGCTGTAGCCAGACACCCCGATAGGTTCACAGAATACAGAAGAGAGAGTCAGGACCTGGGAGAAATGTTCAGGCAGAGGAATTCTCAGGGCCAAGGTCTATCATGCTGCCATGAACTCAGTGACTCATCACATTTCCCCTTTTGACTCGACTGCCAGGAAGCTCAGAGCTAAGATCTTGGCACTAAGTTCTTCAAGAAATTTCTCTGGGGGAGTTTCTCAGTGGGGATCCAGGCGCTTGCAACTGGTGAATTCTCAGGGGGGTTTTTGCAGTAGAGGATCAGATCAGAGGTGAAGGGAAGGGGTGGAGCCACTGTGTTGGTCTGATCTGCCAGGCTGTAGCTGTGTAGTCCTCTTTGGAGATGGGACAAGAGTCAGATCAGCCTCTATGAGAGGGCTGGGGTCTAGGAGGTGTTCAGATACTAGGGCTCACTAACTCTGGGTTATCGTGAGCCTTGGTGACATCCAGTCATAACCTGTATCGTGCTCAAGACCCAGGGGCCAGCCCCACTTGTTTTAGAGAAACACACAAGAACCTGATTTCTTACCATCGGGCCCGAATATGCAGGGCATCTGTAGTTTCCCATTCTTGCCCTCCAGCCTATCCTAGGTCAGGGCCATGGTGGGTGCTCCTGACTTAATTAAGAAGCTTTAGTCCCAGACTGTGGGTTGTGGGTTCTTTGAGAGGGGATCACGAGCACGGAGCCCGCGTGGCCGAGTGGGGCGGGAGAGTCAGGAACCGGGCAGGATTGTCCTGAGGGCTCCCAGCACAGAGCAAGCCCTGTGTGGCTTGTGGGTCTGCCCTGGTCCAGGGGAGCAAGGAGGGGGTTGGGGTGGGATCTGACTGATGTAGAGGGCGCTCGAGGAGGTTAACTCAGGTGAATAATGAGAACACACGCAAGCAGCCTTCAAAATCCATTCACTTTTCTCTGTCTACCCCTCTGCCTGTGAAGCAGCTATTTATTTTTATTGTGAGACGTGAACAAATCCTGGACTGGCACCTGCTGGAGCTCGGAGGTGTGCCCTGGGTGGTTCCGTCTGGCATGGGCGGGGAGCCCCCCACCTCCAGCACACCCAGCAAGGCACCAACCCAGCCGGTTGTCAGGAAGCGCGCGCGCATGCGCCAGCGTGAGAACCTGTTTGTGTGCCCACGTGTGCCACCCCCGCAGCGCCTCCCTCACACACATCTCCCGGGCTGCCTGGAGAGTCTTTCTTCCAGATAGGAAAACGACAGTTTGGCTCGCCTACGCACGGAATCCTCACGCAGCCCCCCTCCCCCGGCGCCCCCTTCTCACGTCACCCACTGCCCCGGGGCACCTCAGCCCTCGCCCTCTCTGCCTGGCTGCTGCCCCCTGTCCCCCCGCTGCATCCCCTCCCGCCCCCTCCTCTGGTTCCCCCGGTGGTCTCTCTCTGGTTCTGAGGCCTCTGTCACATTCCTTCATCTGAATTTGGGCTCTGGTAGGAGCGAGTGTGGATGAGGGCATTCAAGGAGTGAGTGTGTATGTGTGTGTGCACCAGGGGTTGTGTGCAGGCATTTGACTCTGGGTTGTGTGTGTGTGTGAAAGAGAGAGACAGAGAGGGAGTGAAGCCTGGGCCCCAGAAAGCTGGGGGATGGATGGAGGCGTTTGAGGCAAGCAAGGCTTTCACTCAATTACTCTTCAAGCAGCGGGAGCGGGGCGGCAGCCTCACAACAGTCGGACAGGTTTGCACGGTGTGCAGGAGAAGCCTGCATTCCCGCTGACGGCGGTGACAGGTGGAACTGGCAGCTGGGCCTGAGTCTCAGGCTTGAGGGCCCAGGTCTGGTGATTGTGGCGTCCGGGGTGAGGCTGGGGCGGCAGGTCCCTGGGGCCTGCCTTTCAGAGTTGGGGAGCAGGTAGCAACTGAGCAGGGAGGATTTGGTGGACATGCTGGGAACTACAGAAGGCCCCTCCGCCCTGAGATCTGCCTGCTGTGAGATCCAGGAAGGCCTCCTAGAGGAGGCAAACTGCCTCTGAGCTGCTGCTGGACTGGTGGACGGTGGGAGGGGTGGGCGGGCCTGTGGGGAGAGGCCCCGAGGATGAGAAGGAGGGCAGCGGTGAGGGCTCCAGGGCTGTCTTTGCCTTTGAGTCTCTGCCCTGCCTCTGTGCGGACTCCTGAGGTTAGGGGCCTGTCTGAGTCATTCTTGGGTCCACAGCACTTGGACTGGCCTGGTTCATCATGGACCCGGGTATGGGGAAACTGCCAAGTCTCCTGGGACTTCTGTACAGAACCTGATTAAGGCTTCAATAGAGGAGGGAAGCATTCCCGGCGGAAGAGACAGTGGGAGGAAGGCCTAGAGCCGGACAGTGCAGTGAGCCCATGAGGCTGGAGCCTGGGCGCCTTGCAGGGGCTGGCTGGCGGGCAGGCCTAAAAAGGGGATTATTCCTACAGGTCAAGTACTGCCTGCCTACCATACCCCCGAGCCCTGGTCTCTGATGCCTGGCCTTGCAGAGCCCAGGTGAAACTCAGAAACTGGGGAGCGGGCAGAACTGGGATGGCTCTTGACTTGAACTTCTAAAACCCGTTTGCTAGGTGACCTGGGACATGTGACATCACCTCTCCTACAGCCTCATCTCATCATAAATCTGGGCATCTGACCCTGACTTGGGGGGTTCCTGGGGACTTGGGGAGATGGAGGGATGAGGGGTTCCACCCTGGTCTCTGCCCTCAGCGAGGGCCTTGCAGACACTGCTGTTGTGGCTGTAGCTGTGATGGCCAGTCACTGTCTGAGCTCAGCCTGGGGCCTCTGGGCACCTCCGTTCTCCCCCTGGGGGATGGGGTGACTGCTCCGTTTGGGGGGCTGCCCTGGAAACGAGGGCAGGAGCTGCCGGCTCAGCGCTGGACAGGTTTGGGGGACCCAGGGTCTCTGCTCCTTATTCCCTTTGCCTCCAGCTGCATCTACTGGGCTCCTCCGGGCAGTCCACACGGTGGATGTCACCAGCCCTGCTTTTGGAGGAGGAGATGGGCCCATGGGCACAGCCCGAGGCCACAGGGCTGACTGGGGCTTAGCCGGGGATTCTGACCACTTTTCTTACCCCATCCAGGTGTGGGCGTGGCTGGTCTGGGCCTTGGCCCCGCCGCCCCTCGAACTCTGGGCCTCACTCTCCTCCCCTCTCTTCGCAGGATGGTCGAGTACTCCCTGGACCTCCAGAACATCAACCTGTCAGCCATCCGCACCGTGCGCGTCCTGAGGCCCCTCAAAGCCATCAACCGTGTGCCCAGTGAGTTGGCGCCCCCGGCCCTGCCCCAGGCCCACCTTGCCACTCATGCACTCAGCAAGACTGCCCAGCACCTCCCAGTGCCAGGCCTGTGCTGGCACGGGACCCTTCTGTGACAGGACAGATGTGAGCCCTGCTGCCCAGGCCACTTGGGCCATTGCTCAGGCCTGAAGATGCTGGAGGGTGGCCCTGATGCCTCTGGGTCCACAAGGGACTCAAACTGCAGCAAGTTTCTGGCTTGTTGGGGACAAGGTTCCTTGCAGGGGGCTAGTCATGGTGGCAGGTGTGTGAAAAGAAGCTGGTTAGTTGGAGGGAGTTGTCATGAAGCTTTCTACTGGGGAGGGGCTCCCGGACACCCAACTTGTGCCGAGTGACCTGGAACTCCAGCTCCTGACATCCCCCCGTCCCTCATAGGTTCACCCCGCCTCCCACATACAGGTCTATCCACCCGCTCAGCTCCCCCATCTGACCAGCTGCCGCCATCCGTCCACCCACCTAGTATTGAGAGAGGTTATCTGAGAACAACAATCCCTGACATCTGCCTAGACTCACACTGCTTTCAGAGCCTTTCATCTCTGTGATTTCTTTTGAGCCTTACCGTCCCCCTGGGCTGGAGGTGGGCTGTGCTCATGAAAAACTGAGATGAAAAAACCCGAGACTTCAAGGAAACATGAGGTTACTTGCCCAGGAGGTCCCCCGACTCTTTTCCACTGCCTGGTGTCAAGAATGGAATGGGGCTTCGGGAAAGGAGGAGGGGGAGCCCTGCCCCAGGGAGCTTCTGTCCTGATGGAGAAGGACAGGGACTTCCGTGAGCATCCGCCCACCTCCTGCGTGTCAGGCTCTTGACATGCTGATGGCTGACTTAATCCTCGACAACCTGTGTGGGTTCAGGGAGGTTAAATGGCTTACAGAAGGTCACAGAGCAATTCAGGGGCAAGGCAGGGATCTGAGCAGAGTTCTGTCTGTCCCAAGCCCCTCTCTTCCCGGACTCAGTCTGAACTCTAGTTCTCTTCCCTGCCCGAGCCTCCGTTTCTTCTGCAGAAGGTGAAGGGGCTCCTGGCACCTCGTTCTCCTCCCCAGGTGACACTGACCTTGCTCCACCCATTCCCAGCCTGCCCACCTCTCTGCAGCTGTCCGCCTGACTCTGGGCTCGTGTCCGTCAGCCCGGACAGGCCTGGCGGGGCAGTGGAGGCTGTGCTTTGGGATGTTTGTGGAGCAGAGGGACTTGAGGATGGGGCAGGCTGGCTCAGGCTGGAGGAGGTGCAGAGGGGGAAGGGCTGGTGTCTCAAGGTCACATGTACAAGGTCAACTCCCCACACATGAGCCTTGACATGATGGGGAACTCAGGGGCCCCTGAGAGCTGCTGTGAGGGTCCCAAGGGAGAGCTTGAGAGGTAGGAATCAAGAGGTGGGCGGTGGGAACTCAAGCTGTCTGGCAACGGGAGGAACAGTTCACCTTTGTCCCCTCCTGGTCCTAGGGAGACTCCCTCGGGGCAGAGAAGGGGCATCCAGAGAGGCCATCCTGGCTGGCATCCTTTCTGTCTTTCCCACTTGCCACCAAGCCTAGGAGTCTTCTTAAAGATCACCTCATTCTAAACCATCTTTACCCCTTTTAACAAATGAGGCCAATGAGGCCCAGAGAGGGCCATGGCCAGCCCAAGGTCACACAGCAGGTCAGTGGCAGGGACTAAACTGGAGCCCGTTTCTAAGCAGCACGCTTCTCCCAGGGGTGCATGTTCCCCTCCCCAGGCCCCATCTCCTCTTGGGAACCTGGCCACAAGGCAGCCTTTATTCCCGCAGCGCCCAGAACTATGTCTGGTGTGTAGCAGGTGCTCAGTAAATAGGTGTGAAGTGGACCCGCTGGGCAGGTATATCGAGCAGCTGTCCTGTGCTGCCCATGCTCAGACCGAGGGGTGCCGGGCATGTGGAGGGCACAGGGATGCAGGGAGGGGCACAGTGGGGGGCACTGGGGGTCTGAGGTGGTGTCTGAGCTGAGACCCAGCGGAGCATGGGGGCTGAGCTGACAAGGGAATATTTTAGAGACACCCTGGCAGCGGTGAGCAAGTGGATACAAGACCGCTCCCACAATGCGGGCGAACGATGGCCAGGCTGGGCAGGGTGGAAGGAGCAGGTGGATGGAAGGTCTGGTCCTAACTCTGGAGAGACCTGGAGGGGACCAAGCGTCTGGCCTGAGCAACCTCAACCTCAGCAGGGAGGGCACCGGGCAGGGGCTGCATCTCTCCTGGGGATACCCCTCAGGGAGAAAGGCAGGGCTGCCCTCAGGGGGCGGTGACCACGTGGCCAGTCACCCTCCTGGCCATGCAGCCCACAGGCCCGGCTCCCTTTCCAGAGATGCGTGTACCGGGGTCACACAGGGGTGTTTGTAGGCTATCCTACTTTCTGCATCTCCCGTCAGGTCTCAGGGTCTGACATTCATGGGAATAGCGATGTGACAGGACATTTCTGAGAGATGGTCTGGGTGGGAGGTGGGTGGGATAGACACACAGGGTATGGGTCTCTGTGGATGGGTTTCTGTACATTTGTGCATGTGTGTGTGTGTGTGTGTGTGAGGGTCTCTCTCTTTGAGAGACTGTGTGTATATGTGTGTGCACATGTGGGAGTGTGTACATGGTGCTGTGCACATGTGGGAATGTGTACATGGGGCGTGCACATGTGGGAGTGTGTACATGGGAGTGTGCACATGTGGGAATATGTACATGGGGTGTGCACATGTGGGAGTGTGTACATGGGGGTGTGCACATGTGGGAGTGTGTACATGGGGGTGTGCACATGTGGGAGTGTGTACATGGGGTGTGCACATGTGGGAGTGTGTACATGGGGGTGTGCACATGTGGGAGTGTGTACATGGGGTGTGAACATGTGGGAGTGTGTACATGGGGGTGTGCACATGTGGGAGTGTGTACATGGGGGTGTGCACATGTGGGAGTGTGTACATGGGGTGTGCACATGTGGGAGTGTGTACATGGGGGTGTGCACATGTGGGAGTGTGTACATGGGGTGTGAACATGTGGGAGTGTGTACATGGGGGTGTGCACATGTGGGAGTGTGTACATGGGGGTGTGCACATGTGGGAGTGTGTACATGGGGTGTGCACATGTGGGAGTGTGTACATGGGGGTGTGCACATGTGGGAGTGTGTACATGGGGTGTGAACATGTGGGAGTGTGTACATGGGGGTGTGCACATGTGGGAGTGTGTACATGGGGGTGTGCACATGTGGGAGTGTGTACATGGGGTGTGCACATGTGGGAGTGTGTACATGGGGATGTGCACATGTGGGAGTGTGTACATGGGGTGTGCACATGTGGGGGTGTGGGCCCATGTGCCTCTCCTCCCCCACCTCACTGCCCATGTGAGGGGCTCATTTGCGGCTCCTGGCTCTGGGGGTCACTTGCAGGCCTCAGTGCCAGTCTGTCCAGTTCTCTAGCGAAGGGCAGGGCTGGGCCCCGCGCTCATGGAGGTTCTGATTTTGGAGTCTGGGCAGCCCCAAGGGGCCAGAGAGGAGTCCAGGTCTTTCCTCAGGGGCTTCTTTCCTGCTTATAGGCTTTTCTAGGAGGCCCAGGGCTGCCTGAGATGGGCAGTTCTGTTCCCTCTCTGAGTTGTTTCTGCCTCTCAGTGGACAAACGAATCTCTTGTTTTCTCAGAACCTGGCCTGGGGGGGGAGTTATTAAGAGCATGAACGCTCTGGGATCCAAAACATAGCCGATGTGCCTCACTGCCCTCCCCGAAAGGGACCTTAAGATAAATCCATCTTCATGAGCAACTTAACAGGAGCCTCAGGCTGTTGGAATGGGTGCACTAATCCAGACCTCACCACTTCCTTCCCAGGTGCCAAGTGCTCTGCCCAGAGTCACTGGGAATGAGTGGCCTGTAGGGGTGGGGGGTCGCTTAGAAGTGTCTCTCTGAGAGGTTTGGTTGGTTGCCTTCTTTTTTTCTAGCTGTTTCCCTGAACATTCCAAGCCCTCCCACTTATCTCTTTTAGGCCGGGCCACATGGCATGGAGGATTTAGTTCCCTTAGTCCCAACCAGGGATCGAACACGCATCTCCTGCATTGGAAGCATAGAGTGTTATCCACTGGACAAGTCCCCCGTTTATCTTTATTGCTGCTTCTGCCCTGGGACTCATTCAACAATAGCCTGTAGCTTTCCATTTGGCCACTAGATGGCAGGCTAGAGGATTGGGATGGCGAAGTCAAATTATGGGTTATTAATTGCAAAGCTGTGGAGGGGGAGGTGGCTGCCTGACGTTTGCCTGAGCAACCAGGAAGACTCAGTTGGTTTGTCAGGGAATGTAAGTTCTGCTTCTGAGCTCTGCTGAGAGTCTGCTGTGTGACCTAGGAAGCCCTTGGGAGTCTCTGGGCCTGTTTTCCTATTTGTACAAAGGAGGAGCGGGGACTTTGTCCAGGATGGATGGGGCCCCTGGGGGTCATGCTCTTTACAAAACATCATAAAATGTGTCCCTCCACCCCACCCCTGTGGGTGTGTCCTGACCACTCAACCGTTGGCGGATAAAGGGCAGGAGATAGCGTAGAGGAGCCAGTTGGGGAGGGAAGGAAGAAGCACTAGACTGCCAGTCAGGATGCTAGGTTCTGACTTTTTATAAGTCCTTGCTGTGTGACTTTTCATCAGTTGCTATCCCTTTCTGGGCCTTGGCAAGATGGGGCTGATTTATCTTTGAAAGTGCTCCCTCCTGGCATCAGTTGACTCCAGGCCTCACCCACCCTACACATCCCTCAGTCAACTGTTCAGTTCAGTCACTCAGTCGTGTCCAAGCCTTTTCAACCCCATGGACTGCAGCATGCCAGGCCTCCTTGTCCATCACCAACTCCTGGAGTTTACTCAAACTCATGTCCATTGAGTCAGTGATGCCATCCAACCATCTCATCCTCTGTCATCCCCTTCTCCTCCTGCCTTCACTCTTTCCCAGCATCAGGGTCTTTTCAAATGAGTCAATTCTTTGCATCAGGTGGCCAAGATATTGTTT